TGGTACCTTGTTTAAAAAAAAAAAAAGGCAGCCCCCTCCCCACTGTTTGTTTTAATTGAATGTATTAACTCCCTCTCAAAAAAAGATTTAAGAGCTGGGCACAGTGGCTCACATCTATAATCCAAGCAGTTTGAGAAGTTAATGCAGAAGGATCACTTGAGCCTAGGAGTTTAAAAGTACCTTAGGCAACATAGCAAGACCTCGTCTCTATAAAAAAAAAATTAGCTGGATGTGGTGGTGTGTGCCTGTAGTCCCAGCTACACAGGAGGCTGAGGTGGAAGGATCTCCTGAGCCCAGGAGGATAAGGCTGTGGTGAGCCATGATCATGCCACTGCACTCCAGCCTAGGCCACAGAGTGAAACCCAGATTCAAAAACAAATAAATAAAATTTTTAAAAAATTAAATAAAGAGCCGGGCTCGGTGGCTCAGCCTGTAATCCTACGCCTTTGGGAGGCTGAGGTGAGTGGACTGCCTGAGCCCGCGGGTTCGTGACCCGCCTGGGCAGGTGAGACCTCATCTCTACAATAAATTAAAAAATTAGCTGGGCGTGGTATCATGTGCCTGTAATTCCGGCTACTTGGAAGGCTGAGGCGGAAGGATCGCCGGAGCCCAGCAGGTCGAGGCTGCGGTGGCCGGGAGCGGCCACTGCACTCCAGTCTGGGCGACAGAGTGAGACTCCAACTCAAAAAAAAAAATTCAATAAAAAATAAAATAAGACTTCAGAGACACATTAACCAAATGCACTGCGTGGGCCTCATCTGAATCTGGACCCAAACAACTGGAGAAATGGGAGATGTCACTAGAGACAGGATGCCTGTAAAGTGGAGTATGGGTAATCTAATTATGTTTTCAAAAGGAGTCCATAACTTTAGGAGAGACACTTATGGACTAAATGTGATTCTGTGATTTGCTTCAATAAGGCAGTGAAAGCTTAAAGATGGGGCAGGGTCACAGGCGAACCAAGACTGGCCACTGTGCAGATAAAATGGGGTGAGGATACTGGAGGGTTTCATTAGACCATTCTCTCTACTTTTGTTTATGTCTGATACTTTCCATCATCAAAAGTTTATATACAGACATATAAAATATACACACACGTATATTCTATCATTAACCTAGAGAATATATCCACTGCCATCTCCCCTCTACAACAATGAACAACATATACAGATTTAAAATGAAATACAAAAGGTTCTTTTTTCCCTCACTTAAACCCAAGTATAATGATGGATTTCCTTGCTAGCCAGGAAATTCACCAAGATAAACAAGTAGAGTTTAAAATGTTATAAGCAGCCAAACTCCTGGTGAGGTGCTCTGGAAAAGAATACACTGGATATTCTGGGAAGCAAGAACAGCACAAAGTTTTCTGGAGGAAAATCTCAGGCCACTGCCTTGAAACGACCTTGGTGATCAAGTCAAAGAAGCATCATGTCTGTGTACAACAGCTCACATGCTATCTGCACTTACAGTCGAGATTTCACAGCAGAGGTGGGGAAATCACATGTTCAAGGCTTTAAAAAAGTTTCCAAAATTTCTCAACAAATAATATAAATTTGCATATTCCAATCCAAACGCAAAAGTCTGATGTTCGATACCAGAAAAATGAGGCTGTTTTCATGTCATAGCCTGTGAAACTCAGAGAAAGGCTACCAGATTATCTTTCACTTACAAAGAATTGAAGAATGGCATGAGTGCCCATGTTTTCTCTTCCTGTGAGGCTGTGTCTGTCACAGAATAAAGTAAACATGCTCGGTGACAATGAAGTGTCAAACAGAGCAGGGGCAAAATGCCCATCAAACAATAGCTCTTGGCAGCCCCATCTGGAAAGCTGACTTGCCCCCTGGCAAGGTATGCTGCTGGGGTGGGCCTCAGGACCAAGGCCAGGTCCAGAGCCCTCCCCTATGCCACTCCTGGGTCTCCTGGGGGAGAGCGGGTATCCTCACGAGCTCTGGCAGGCACAAGGAGCCTCCCCTTGGCAAGGGGCAAGTTTACAATTGCTACTCCCAGGCGTGGGATCTTGATGACGAAAGCAGAAAGAAAATGTAAACAGCACTGGCCCTTCTCTCTCCCAGGAGCACAACTCATGCTCCACTTTAGATGCAGGTGTAAAGTTAAAACTCTCTGTCCTGGCTGCTGCTTCCCTGTCTAATACACCTAGAGAAACAGGCTGCCTTTTACTACTCTTGAAACCACTACAACTACAAGAGGTGAATTTGCACCCTAGCAATGCTAAGGAGAAGGGGGTTTTCTCGGCTACCAGCACATCTTATGTTATAGATTACTCGGTCTTAATAAGCTGACATTGCTATAGTGCTTCCAAATGTACTGATGTGTATTCTGTACTTTTAGCCCCTAACTCCAGTCAGCTTCCAGATACTCTGATGCCTCCTCGGATGCTTCTATGTGTGCTGTGGCCACTTCTTCCTTTGTCTAAGGGGTCTCTGTCTTCAAATAAGGAAATGGAGTTCACCAGAATGATGGAACTCAGGCCAAGGACAGGCGCAGAGCCCAGCAATCCCACTACAGAAATCACAGCCAGCAGAGAAACATGCCAAGCATGGTTCCCATCTGATGCTCAGGGGTCCTCTGTACAAACTAGACTGTTCCTGAACCCCAGTCACCTTCCTCAGAGCTAAATAAACTGCAACCTCCAGCATGCACAATGCCTGCCATTCAAACTATACATTATCCACAGATACTGTAGAGTAATGACAGACAGCTATGGTGTGGTCCCATAAAGGGAGGAAATCAACCTCAAATTCAACTCAACAGTCCCAGCAATTTCTGATGTCCTGTCAAATCAAATGATTTGCTTGTGCTAATTCCTCATCCACTCCCTTAGCCAAAATGACAGGATGATGGAGCCACAGCACATACTGAAGCATCCGAGTATTAAGGATAGTTGGAGTGTAGTGGCTAAGAGGACAAGACACACATCAGTTGCATTTGGAAGTATTGCAGCAAATGGACAAAATTAATGGCAAAATCAGCAGCCAGTACTAAAAAAGCAGTTTTATTTGCTTAAGACAAAACTAAAAAAAAAAAAGAAAGAAAGAAAGAAAGCAGCAGCAGCAGCAGTACTAACTAACTAGGGCTAATTAAAAGAACCCCTAACTATAGATTCAAAATGCAGGAGAAGGCTCACAAACACACTGCTGGGCAATGGTAGAGAAAGCAAAGAGCAGACAAGAAGGTTAAAAGAATTCACATCACACTAAATATGTGAATAGGCTTATCAAAATACACTTGGAAGGAGGATGGGGGGATGGCAGTGTAGCTGAATAAATGGGTCTTTGAATAGCCCTTGGGGTCAAGACCAGAGAAAGTCAAGCCCCTCAAAGCAGGACCTAGATCATCTTTCTCTTGTCGACCCTGTTGCCTATGTGACCCTAATAAAAAACTGACACAAATGAATCCTGAATCAACCCAATCACGAATGATTAAGAAAGTCTATCTCAACCTGAACAACAGGGTCTGACAGGCCCAGTTACTTATCCTTCATATAGGCTGAGATCATTTCATTTCATGGACTATGTACCATGCATCAGTGCTGCCCTCTAAATGATTTAAAACAATGATCACTGTTATGGACTGCATGTTCATGTGTCCTCCAAATTCTTATGTTGAAAACTTACCCTCTAGTGTGATGATATTTGAAGGCAAGGGCTTCAGGAGGTGATTAGGTTTAGATGAAGACATGAGGGTAGGGCCTGGTGATGAGATGTCCTTATAAGAAATGGAAGAGGCTAGGCACAGTGGCTCACACCTGTAATCCTAACACTTTGGGAGGCCAAAGCAGGAGGATGGCTTGAGGCCAGGAGTTTGACGCTGTAATGAGCTATGACTGTGGCACTGCACTCCAGCCTGAGTGACAGAACAAGACCTTGTCTCCAAAAAGAAAAAAAAAAGAAAAGGAATAGAGGCCAGAGCTGTTATTCTCTTAGCCATGTGAGGACATAGCAATAAGATGGCCATCTACAAGTCAGGAATCAGGCCCCCATCAGGAACCAAATCTTGGACTTTCTGCCTCCAGAGCTATGAGAAACAAATGCCTGCTGTTCAAGACACCCAGTCTACATTATTTATTACAGCAGCCTGAGCGAGAATGACTCAGTCAACAAGCATGCAATACCCTTTCTTAAGAAAATGAATTATTTCAGACCAACACTTTGTCATTCATAAAATAACAATTTTAGTCATGAAATTTGAAGACTTAATATAGCTCACTAAATGTAAGAAATTCATCCCCAGCCTCTTAGTAGGGATCAAGTTCTAATTGTAAAGATGAGAACATGGGGAAGACCTAAAGACCACATTGTCCAAAAGATCTTTCTGGGATGATGGAAGTCTATCACCTGTGCTGTCCAATGCAGTAGCCACCAGTGCAGTGGTTCTCACTGTGTCCTCTAGAGGACACTTGGCAATGCCTGGAAACATTTTTGGTTGTCACAATGGGGGTGAGAGGTGCAACTGGCATCTAAAGGGTAAAGATCATGGATGCTGCTCAACATCCTACCATGCACAGGACAGCCACCCTAAGACAAAGAAGGACCCAGCCCCAGCTGTCACCAGTGCAGTGGTGGAGAAAATTTGCACTAGCCACATGTGACTACTAAGCACTTCTGAGGTAGCTACTGAGACTGGGGAATGACACTTTTAATTTTGACTTACTTTAATTAACTTCAATTTAAATTTTAGAATGAAAACATTAAGAGGATAAAACTAACAAAAAACAAATTTGAATGTAAACAGCTACGAGTGTCTTGACCAGGGCAGCTAAAGAGAATGTGCATAAACATAAAAATATAGGTCTTGTTCTCCAAATATTTCCACTGAAAGGAATAAAGTATCTCCAAGGAAAAGAGCGATTCTGATGCTTAGGATTGGGAAATACAGGCATAAAAGCGAAGGTCATGAAAGACACGTGTCCAGGTACCAAACGGGTCAGGAGAAGAGGAAATCACAGGAAAGTGTTCCCGTCTATGACGCGGGCAACTCACTCTTGCAGCGTCTCCACCCCCTTTTCTTTGTACTGCAGTTCCTGCTTCATCTGGGTCAGCTCCCGCTTTAATCTGGAAAGCTAAAGACAAATCATATTTTTTTTCCAGAAACAAGCCATGAAAAGTCATACTTTTTTTCCAGAAACAAGCCATGAAAAGTTAGTTATGAGCGTTGTCATCTCAATTTCTAAAGAGCTTACAATCCAGGGGATCATCTATTCCCTCCATAAACTTCCATTCACACACATATGAAGCAGCTATTCTATAAGATGGCCTTGCTTAAATACAAAAATCCCAGATTGCCAACAGGTTCCTACCCAAGTGTGGAGCCAGCAAACTTTTCTTTTTCAAGGTAATGATGTACACATTACAATTAGCAAGGTTTGTAATCGTTTCTTTATCTTTCCTTCTATTTAATACTCTCAGATCCCACACATGAAACTGTTTCTAAAAGTGTGTTCTCTGACTACCTGAACCTCAATCGTGCCTGGAGTGCTTATTTAAACAGATTCTGGGACCAGCTCCAGGCCTACGTCAAAACTCAGGAGGTAGGCCTAGAAGTTCGCTCTTTAAACAAGCTCCCAGGTGTTTTTCTTAGGTGTGCTAAAAATTGAGAACCACTGCACTAAAAGGTACACTCTGGCTCAGGAAACAACACACCAGGAGAGGAGGCTTAATTGCCAAGATGTCTCCTAGGCTTTGTCACAAATGCAACAAAAGTGTCCCTTTTCCAGACAACCGAAACAAAAGTCTGAAGAGATGAATAAATAGTTCCAGTGTCACCAGGGAAGTAGCATCAGAGTACTTCTGGTCTAATGCCACTGCAGGAGCAATCCCTCTTAAGATGAGTAAACCAGGGCCTATAGGCGGCTGGCATTCTCCCAGCACAGGAAAGCAGCCCTGTGAGGTGAGGCCCTGCTGCCTCCAAATCTTTCCAAATGGTTAGTGAGTCCCGCCCCATGAGACACACACAGGAATACATGCTACTTTCTGTTAGTGAGTTAAGGTTTTAAAATAAACTGTCTTCCTTCTACTGAAAAAAAAAAAAGGACAATAAAACAAAATGCAAAGCCGGGCTCGGTGGCTCAGCCTGTAATCCCGCGCCTTTGGGAGGCTGAGGTGAGTGGATTGCCTGCGCCCGCGGGTTTGGGACCCGCCTGGGCAGCGAGACCTCATCTCTACAATAAATCAAAAAATCAGCCGGGTGTGGTAGCACACGCCTGTAATTCTGGCTACTCGGAAGGCTGAGGTGGAAGGATCGCCGGAGCCCAGCAGGTGGAGGCTGCGGTGGCCGGGAGCGGCCACTGCACTCCAGTCTGGGCGACAGAGTGAGACTCCAACTCAAAAAAAAAAAAAAAAAAAAAAAATGCAACAATGATCCATGAAATCAAAAATCACACTAAAATATGAGTGTCAGACATATTGATCACCATAAAATGAATCACGGTAAGTGATGTTACATAAACATACATATAGCACTTCCATTTATGACAACACTGGTTTTACTCACCCTATCCCGACGACTCGCTATTTCTGCTTTAATTTGGTGTGGGTCATATTTTGTATTTGTTGAATATCCAGAGAAAGCTAAACAGAAAGAAAATACTTCATTTTATAATGGATCCTTTAAAATAAATAAATACACACAAGGAACTTCTGATTCACCGTATTAAATCATTCTAAGTCTCAGATTTACAAGTGAGTACTGGATCCTAAAGAATTGATATTTCACATCCTCAAATCTTCTTGATGTGTTTGCATCAGGACTTTCTCTACAATCCCATATAGTAAAAGATATGGCTGGAGGGAAATAAAAAGTCTGTTTAGTTTTACTACAAAACTAGCTGGGTTCAACACCTCATAAACATATGTGAATATGTGAATACCACATGCAGTATGAACCTGTTTTGACTTTCTTTTAAAATACACACACAGAAGTCACTGGAAAGAGAACCAAAACGTTAACTGTGGTTATTCTCAGTGGCTGCATTACAGGTGATTTTATTTTTATTTTCTTCACATCTATATTTGCCAGATGAACAATTTTTGGCACAAGAAATAAGAAAAACATTAAAAATGTGTAAAATAAAACAGACAACTTTCTAGCAATATGTCAGTATCTGGCAGGCTTGAGCAAAAGCTGTGTCTCCACGTTGTCCCACAGAAACTGAAGGGAAGCACTCACACGTCTATTCTTACAACTTGTCTTGATGAATGTTTAGCTCAACACTGTCTTCAACAGTGCAGTGCACATGATTTCAACTCTTTTTACAGACACAGCATCATTATCATGAGTCACCAATACCTGGGGGTAAATAAGACCCACAGAGCTGTTTACACGCTAAGCATCATCAGCCAATTTCTGTCTACACAAACAGCTGCCAGCCCTTTTCAGTATTACAGCAGCCAGAGCAGTGAGTAGCTAGTCCTAATTCCTACCACCCCATCCACCTCCTCACACTGCTTTTTCTTGATGTTTCTGTCTCCTTTCTTTAGGCATCTGAAGCCATGGGCTTTGTACTACTGCAATGTGGCTTCTATTCTCTTTAGCTGGTGGCATGCTCCTTTGTCTTCCTGTGTGAATCACCCCACACTCATGTCATCCTGCCTCCGGGTTCTTGTCATTCACATCACCTGGTCAGACGACACATCTGCAGGGCCAGCATCCTTTCTTTTACTCCTTTGATCTGGATACCAAAGGCTGGCTGTCATTCAGATAACTTACGTGCCAACAACCAGAAATTAATTCAAATCATTTCCTGACTTTATATTGGAAAAGATGGCTCAAAACCATCAAGTAGCTTAAACAGCAAGATTATTTTAAAATTCAATTAGAACCACATCCAAAGTTAATTTGAGCAGTCAGATCTCCTATTGTAGTAACAGTTCTATGGAAAATCTACTGTTTAAGCCCCATTCAGTCAGAATTTCAAAATAACTGAATCTACTGGAAACAAATAACTAAAGGAGCTAAACGTTTGCCAACTTTACTTCAAATTTTCTTATACTCAGAATCGCGATCTCTCAAAGACATGGATAAACTATTTTTAAGACAGAATTATTTCTTACATGAGACTGCCTATTTCCAAATCCTACATCTTCCATCTTGCTTGACTCTTTGGCTTCATTTAAGACCAGTTATGAAAAAAACACCTCAAACAATGCTCTTAAAAAGCAGAAATCATTTATAGACAAGCTCCACATTAATCTCCTGGGACTTAAGTTTCCCAGGCCTGAGCTTAAAGGCTTTCCAGGTGAGATGGAGATAATATGCAAATGAGGCCACAAGGCTAGGACTCGCTGACTACTGGCTTACAACACTACAACGCGTGTATCAACTTGTTGACATGCAGTGGGAAGAAGATGAGGCCCACAGTTATCACTTGGGATCTTTCTCATTAAGGGTAGCAAGTAACCCCACCACCGAAGCTCAATAAAGTTAACTGTGATGTTAAGTATCAGTAACAATGATCTGAAATCATCACCACCATACATACTTTTTCTGTCTGCAATTTCCTAGGGAAAATCAAGAAAGACTTGAAATACACACAGGCGGTGTCTTGGATACTGCCAGATCCCCACAGCAACCTTCTTCCATTTCTCTTTCAGAACCCCCATGGTGTCAGGTAGCCTCTCCCCCAGTAGACTCAGTGTATACCCACTTCTAGAAGGGGAACCTGATAAACCAGTGGGATACCACAGAGTCATCAAATCCACCTTTGAGGAACCCCACCCCACCTCCAGAGGACTCTTTTATGTCAAAATGAATTTCCTTATTGTCCAGGCCCATGGGAGTTAGTCTTATCTGTTACCAATGAAGCCATCCTAAATGACAGAATAGGTTTTACTTATATTGATCCCATTCATGTCACCTTTGCTTTGAACCCTAAAATTATAAAATTCCAGGACTAGGATGAAGAAAAAGACCACTGAAGTACCTAAGGCAGTGAATACATTTTATCTTCAAATGCTAAAGACAGTTTTGAGCACTGGCATAACTTGTAATAGTATAATTCCATTTATAAATAAAATTCTTGCCAGTAAGTCTACTAAAACCATTTTCAGAGTCCAAGGAACAGCTTAAGACTCCAGACCTCAATTTTACCAGCATGCATTCCACAATATTTATAAAAAGAAGTATCTTTCCTCTATTAATACATGTCTTCAATCTCAAGGTTTATGATCAAGACCAGACTTTCACCTCTGAAGTTTTCTCTCTTGAAAACTTGAGTGGGCAGAGCTTATAAATAGCTTTAAAAGTCTGCTCAGGCATATAATATTGCTTCAGATGATATAATAACAAGGTTATAGCTTAGCTGGACCACAGCAATGTAAATTATTATGCCTTGCTATTATAGGATGCCTTTCACATTTATTTCATCTAGTCTCATGAAATCTTTGTGAAGCTGAGATGATGCTTATGCTTCCTTGCCCATTTTATAGAGTCAAAGACTGAGTTTGTAGTGACCTGAGCTACATTATGCCATCTTTTATAGAGGGATTAGTGTCTAGAATTAGGAGTCCTGTGGGTCAGCCACCCAAGATCTTTTCATCAGACTATCTTTCGCCACATAAGAAGGTACTTCAACTCCCCAGTGCCCACCACCCAGTAGGTGACATTTAGCAGTCAAAATGCTGCAAATCCCAGTATTGATTCTGGATTTCAATTATATGGGCTGTTGAATCACATTGGCTTGCATTCATGTGTCGTCAGTCTGTGTCTCTCTTTCTTACAGGCCTCCTCTGAGTTGCGGGAACCAAAGGTCACCCCAGGGAGATGACATGCTTTAAAAGACTAGCAGGCCTTCTCCAAAGACTTCCTGTGGCAGGTTGCTACTTAGGACCAGGTGTACGCCCCCAGGGGTCAGCGCTGTCCATAGTTGCTCAAGAGAGCCTAGGAGGATGCTGGGAGAAAGAACAGCAAGCCCTGACAGATTCCAGGTTGACAGTCACTATCTACCAGAGAGGTGCGCATACAAATGCACAAGGCCAACAAAAGGGGCATGGGGGGTTTTAAGACACTATAAGCAAAGGACCAAAAAAAAAAAAAAAAATCAAAGCTACTTGGGAGCAATCTACAGAAACAACACAATATGCCATCAAATCCTAACCAAGAAGTCGCTTTCCAGGACAGACTAGGAGATTACCTCTCAGGAAATACACATGCTTTGCCACAACCCTCAAGATTCAGGCTCAAAACTAATACATGGGGAAAATGCTATGTGATCCATTTTTCTCCTGCCTGCTCCAACACACTCATGTGAAGGAAAAGAAAAGGCTGAATGGGAAAGGATTGCCTGTTAGCCCTTCTCCTAACCAAGACAGCAGATGAAAAATCCTTCAACATAGCACCAATGGAAGACAGTCTTTGTGGGATGGGCTTGGAGCCTCAGAAAGAATGTTGGCGTGCCTGATGGCTGATAAGGTCAATCTTCACCACCACCTAGCCCAAGAATTCAGGGTGGGTCAGCACTTTCTCACCAGAGATAAGGCCAATTCTGTCCCAGCCACCCAAAGAAAGAGACTTTCAGTGTAGACTCTGGGTAGCTCCTAGGAGCCAGGATAACAAACACAGTCATTTTTCTGCTGCTACAAGGGCCATTCACAGCCAATCTAGCCCAGTGGTTCTCAACCCTGGGAATCACCTGGAGAGCTTTTTAAAAAAAAAAAAAAAGCTTGGCCCCACCCAAGGCCAATTATATCAAAATGTTCAGGGTGGGGCCCAAGCAGCAGTAGCTTTTAAAAGCCCTCCAGGAGATTCTAGCTTGCAGCCAGGCTTGAGAACCACTGGTGTAGACCAGAGGTTGGCAAACTTTTTCTGTAATGGGCCAAATAATAAATATAAATATTTTTGGCTCTGTGGGATATTTAGTGTGTCTCAAATACTCAATTCTGCTGTTTAACTGCCATAGACAATAGGTAAGTAAACAAGCATGGCTGTGTTCCAATAAAACGTTATTTACAAACACAGTGGAGAGGATTCAGGCGCAGGCCTAACATAGTTTGCAGACCTGCAGTTTAGTCTATAAATCTACCCTATGCAAGAATCTCTTCCAAAAGATCCTGCAAATAGACATATATAGTTCATTTGAATGCATCTGGGGGCTGGAGTTTCTCAGGAAGAATGAAGGAGTAACACTAGAAAAAAACAGTGTCTGAGATCATGAACATATTCAGTGTTAAAAGGAAAACAAATAGAAGAACATGCTGCAATGGGGAAAGTCTAAGAAAACTCTACAAAATGGAGCTGTAGAAAAAGTGCGAGTGCGTCTAAGAGAAAATGAGTCCATTGTGGAGCACTTTCACCCCAAGGTTCTACAAAGCATGAAAGAGAACTGGGCACCAGGGAGCTAGCTCTAAAGCTCATTGAAATCAAGTAGAGTTGGGTTCTTAGTCTTATGGATATATGTGTGCAAAGTATCCAGCAAAGTATTTTAATTTGCTTGGGTTAGGGACAAAAAAGGCCAAGGCTTAGATATTCTTAGATACCAGATAGCCCAATATTGACACAAAATCTTTCCTCTTCAATGAATGGGGTTATATTCTGGTGATTCCATAGCTCTGGAGAAATGTGTGAAGAGTATGGG